TCTGAGAGTGGTGCCATCTGGGCTGATCAAAATTAAGCCCGCTCCTCCTCCTTCACTAGTCGAGGAGCCATCTACATAGAGTTTCCAAAGCAGATGAGTGGAGAATTTAGAATTTGAAGTGGAAGACCGGGGAGGTGCAGCCTGTGATGCCTGGGCATGCGGAGGTGCAGCTTGTGGTGCCTGGGCATCCAAAGGTGCAGCCTGTGGTGCAGGAAACTAGAGGTGCAGCCTGTGGTGCCTGGGCATCTTGAGGTGCAGCTTGTGGTGCCTGGGCATTCAGAGGTGCAGCCTGTGGTGCAGGGGCTGGAGGTGCAGCCTATGGTGCCTAGGCATCAGAAAAAGTTGTTTGGGCTCCTAGGGAGGAGACTTGGGCGCTTGCTTGAGGGTCTTTGTTAGGCTTTTTGATGTCTCCGTTGGGCATTTGGGGATCCTCACTGTTCCCATCTTCTGTTGGTGTGAGTTCAGCTACGAAATCTGCTAGGGCTTGTGCTTTGATGGCCGTCCTAGGTTGGTACTGAATGTCGAATTTCCCGAGTTCTACTGCCCATTTAAGAAGTCTTCTAGACACGTCCGGCTTTCCCAAGATTCTTTTAAGTGGTTGGTCGGTGATGACCACCATACGATGGCCCTGGAAGTAGTGTCGCACCGTCTCGCTGTCGTGACCAAAGCGAGTGCCAGTTTTTCTAGTGCTGAATATCTGACCTCTGCCCCCCGGTATGCCCTACTCACGTAATAAACTGGTTTCTGCACTCCATTGTTGTTTCTAACGAGCACTGAGCTTACCGCTGATGGGGAAGCAGATAGGTATAGATGGAGAGTTTCTCCAGGGGCAGCATGTGACAGGAGGGGAGGTGCTGCTAGGTAGGCTTTGAGCTTTTGAAAAGCCTCATCTGCCTCAGGTTTCCACTCAAAGGCTTTTCGGAGAGTTTTGAAAAAGGGGAGACATTTATCTGCAGATTTGGAGACAAACCTATTTAATGCTGCGATCCTTCCATTGAGGCGCTGGAGCTCCTTGGTTGAAGAGGGTGACTTCATGTCAAGAATGACCTTGATCTTGTCAGGGTTTGCCTCAATTCCCCTCTGATTGACCATAAAGCCCAGGAATTTACCAGACCCCACACCAAAGGCGCACTTCTCAGGGTTGAGCTTCATGTGATAGGACCTCAGGACGTTGAAAGTTTTTTGGAGGTGATCAATGTGGTCTACTGCTGCAAGGCTCTTTACCAGCATGTCATCCACGTACACCTCCATTGTTTGCCCGATCTGAGACTGGAACATCTTGTTCACCAGCCGTTGGTAGGTTGCTCCAGCGTTCTTTAGCCCAAAGGGCATGACCCTGTAGCAGTATGTCCCCTTTGGCGTGATGAATGATGTCTTCTCTTGGTCTGGGGGATGCATGCTAATCTGGTTGTACCCCGAGTATGCATCCAGGAAAGTGAGCAACTCATGCCCAGCGGTGGCGTCGATGAGGAGGTCAATCCGTGGCAGTGGATAACTATCTTTTGGGCATGCCTTGTTCAGTTCTGTGAAGTCGACACAGAGACGCCACTTCCCATTAGCCTTAGTGACCATTACTACGTTGGAGAGCCACTCTGGATACGCCACTTCCCTGACTGCTCCGTTATCAACCAGCTTTCGAATCTCCTTGTCCATGGCTTGGGCCCTTTCAGAGGAGGCTCCCCTTAACTTTTGGCGAACAGGCTTGTACCGCGGATCGACATTGAGGTGGTGGGTAGCTACTTCCGGGTTGATGCCCTCAAGGTCCTCATGCGACCAAGCAAAGATGTCCATATTACGCTCCAAAAATTCAATCAACAGGGGAGCCAGCTCTTCAGAAAGGGAAGAACCAATGTAAATTCTTCTGTCTGGGTGCTCCTTTTCTAAGACCACAGGGATGAGTTCCTCGACTGGTTCTCCTCTTTCTGTTGCGGAGTCATCCCTTGGGTCAAGGACCTCAACTTGCAATGCTTCTTGGGGCTTCCTAGCCTTCATAGAGGATACATAGCACTCTCTGGCTGTTATTTGGTCCCCTTTGACCTCTCCGACTCCATTTAAGGTTGGAAAGCGGAGAACGAGATGGTAGGTAGAGGGCACAGCTCTTAATGTGTTAAGAGCTGGTCGCCCTAATATGATGTTGTAGGCTGACGGGCATTCTATTACCAGGAAATTGACCATGACTGTGGAGCTTCGGGGTGTTACTCCGGCGGTGACGGGAAGTGTGATGGATCCAAGGGGATACACTTTTTCCCCTGAGAATCCAATGAGGGGTGACCTAATTGGCTGTAGCCTCTCCCTGCCCAGGTTGAGCTTGTCATAGGCCTCTGCAAATAGGATATCTGCAGAGCTGCCACTATCTACCAGGATCCTGTGCACATGAAAGTTGGCCACCGTCATGGTGAGCACCAAGGGGTCATCATGGGGGTGTTGGATTTCCTCCAGGTCCTTGTTTGAAAAAGATATGACCTCGTCGCTTTCCTGCTTCGGCACCTTAGATGGGCGCATCTCGTAGACATGTCTTGCCTTTCTGGCATGGGCCTTCATCGCAGAAAGTGATTCTCCTCCACCTGCTAGTCCCCCTGAGATAGTGTGTATTTCCCCCACAGGCTGCTGATCTTCCTGGTTGTGAGGTTGTGGTACACGTTCCCTTCCAGCAACGTACTGACGCAAGTGACCACGCTGGATGAGCTCCTCAATTTGCCTCTTGAGGTCGTAGCAATCGTCGGTGTCATGCCCGTGGTCACGATGGAAGCGGCAATACTTGTTAGGATTTCTGCGATTTGGAGGAGACTTCATTTTTCCAGGCCACTTTATCGCGGGGTCATCCTGGATCTGGAATAGGATGTGTTCCACGGAAGCATTGAGGGGAGTGAAAGGTTGACGGTTCCTCTGAGGAGCAGGACCTAGCCGGTCCTTGACAGGGACTTTCTCTGTCCTGCCATATTTGTTGCTGGTTTCCTTCTTATCGTCCTTCTCTCTTTCCTTCCTTTTCTCACCCGCTCTGGAAGACTCACCCCGCCTGGCCCTTGTGATGTCTTCTGCGTTTATGTACTTTTGGGCCTTGGCTAGCAGCTCTGGCATGCTCTTCGGTGGGCACTTCAGAACTGAGAAAAGAAAACTTGATGAACGGAGTCCACCCAAGAAAGCGGTCATCGTCACCTTGTCGTCAGGTTCATCAACTTGGAGTACCTCCTCGTTAAAACGAGTGAGGTAACTCCTCAGGCTCTCCTCACGGTCCTGCTTTATACTAAGCAGGTGCGTAACTGGTTTCTGGTGGCGACGCCCTCCTATGAAGTGTGAGACGAATGATCTGCTAAGCTCGGCGAAAGAGGCAATAGAGGCGGGGGAGAGCTTAGCAAACCACTGTCGGGCAGACCCCTTTAATGTGGTTGGGAATGCCCTGCACATGATTTCGTCTGGTACGTTGTGCAATTGCATCAAGGTCTTGTAAGTGTCGAGGTGGTCCAGTGGATCCTTTGTTCCATCAAAGGTCTCCACAGATGGCATTTTGAACTTCTGAGGGAGGGGGTAGTTTGCTACATCAGATTTGAAAGGGGTATCAGTACGCCTCACTAGGTGGTCAACAGTCTCGGGTCCCTGTGCCTTCATGGCGTTGAAGACATCACCGAGTTGATTTTGTACCTCCTTTATCTTCTCGTCCCAATGATTGGGGGCTCCTCTGGAATGATCATGGAAGTGGCTTCCATGCCCCATGCTTTGGTTTTCACCCTCATCCTCCTGGAGATAAGGGTCCTCTCCTTGGAAAGCAAGGGGAGGGGGAGGTGCAGCTCCCTCATGTTGGGCTTCCTGAAGTGGGGTGCCCAATGGGGCACCCGGGTGTGGAGCAACAGGGCGTGGTGCTCCTTGATGTCCAGGATGTGGAGCTCCTTGGGGTGCTCTATGTTGTGCACCTCTGTGGGGCCTTCTATGTTGTGCACCTCCATGTGGTGCTCCACGTTGTGCACCTCCGTGTGGTGCTCCACCTTGGGGTCCTCCATGTTGTGCACCTCCGTGTGGTGCTCCTCCTTGTCCAGCAAGTATGAGTTGCAGTAACTGTTGGTTTTGAGCAACCAGTTGCTGCATGGTCTCCAATATTTGTTGGGGATTCGGGGCTAGAGTATCCGGAACAGGGTTGATAGGCGGGGGAGCAACCTCCTCCTCTCGTGGAGGATTGTCTTCGTGTTGGTTCATGGATCGAGTAGTGATCGCCATTAGTTAATGGACGTAATGTTCAGGAGTGAGAATTTTGTCGATTCCCACAGACGGCGCCAAACTGATGATGCACAAAAATAGTTTCGCACACCACCCGTCAAGTGTAGATAATAAATGCAATGAAATCAATGAAAGAATTAAAGAAGACATAATTTATAGTGGTTCGGTGAATTCGACCTACGTCCACTCTTCAATGGCTTCAGTTGCCGGGAATTTTATTGATTCAAAGGTATGGAGAATGGAGATACAGACTTTGAGAGAGAGAATGGAGAATCAAAGAAAAATAGTAATCTCCGGTAGTCGGTTCGTCCTCTGTATGTCTCTGGTGGGATGATGTTCTTCCTCTCCCAGATTAGAGCCATTTTATAGTAGCTAAGAGATCATTCTTGTGGAGATCATGACATATCCTCAAGGCTTCTTTATCGCAGCTCAGGGATTATCCTTGGTGGAGATCACGACTTATCCTCAACGTAAGGAGGAGATTGGGGGGTTCTTCATGGAACGTGGTCAAAGATTGGACCGTTTCCTTCGGTGGTGCAGATAAACTTCCCGTGCTCTCCTCTTGGTGACGTGCTAAGCAAGAAGTCTAACCGGCCTTGGACTGTCTTGGACTTGGTGGATTCACAATGAGGTTGGACTCCTCAACCGGGGTTGGACTTTCATACATAAATTGGACTATTTGGGCTTAACCCATCACATTTATATTTAATTATATCCTATTTTATAAGGTGCAGCAGATCATCTATTCATGTCATCTATCTGTGATCTGAGTTGTAGTTTCTGTGTCTTAGTCTTTTAGTTAATTTATTGCAATAGATTTCTTCTTGATGTGTTGGGCTCATTCTGATCTTTAATAGGAATAAGTTCTGACTTTCCTTCCAGGTCGCATTTGCGAAAAGAGCAATCCAAGATCCAGACTTGAGGATGGCGCACAACGTGCATAGGATGTCATCACTCTTAGGCGGTGCACTTTTCATAGCCGATGATGTCTTCCCCGGAACTCCAGTCCTTCATGCTGGCTGGCATGTTGCTGCTGCTGTTGGAGTTAGCACCTGTAACAAGGTTCTAGAGTAGTGTAGATATTCTAAATCTATTCGCCACATCCAATTTGTCGAAAATGCGTGGGTCGAGCTTCAGCTTGAAGACCATACAAGTGAAGAAGGAAAAGAGGGATATGTAATTTTACGTCAACTTGTTGAAATTCCATTGTTGACTATGTTGTGTTTCCCGGAAACTTCCTTTGAAGTATGTCTTCAGCTATGTTGTCCAATGCATAAGTTGGTGAAATTTTATCCGGGACTGTTATGTATGCTATAAACCTGTGGCAATGCCTGCTGCTTTGTGAAGTTACTCTTACATGGTAAATTTGTCTGATGGACAGAAATTCCGTATATCGCATGGGTAAGGCTGCTAGTGTAGAATACATATGATACAACCACTTAAAAGTATTCAAAGGTTGATTTACTAGTAATTACTACCCTCACTTAGGAAGTCACTGGCTAGCGTAACACTTGCAGCCGGTAAAAAAAGAAGGCACAAATAATATTATAGATGACGTGTATAATGACCTTTAAAATCAATGCAGTTGCAGGTTCAAGCTTGTTTGGTCTACGGCGGCTGTCAAGGTAGCTGATAATACTACCCGCCAACCCCCAAGCACCTACGATACCTGAAAGGTAACAAAGAACTACAGCGGATATCCAATCTTCCTCTTCAACAGTCATATAGAATAACATCAGAAAAGCGCAAGTCGCAAACAAATTGACAAAGAATTCAAAACAATTGATCCCCTAGACGCAGTGGTTGTCCACCTCCTTCTCTTTTTTGATGATTTATGTCTTCTGATCAGTCTTCTCTTCGTTGATGATTTCTGTCTTTTGATCAGTTGCCTTGATTATTACTATTACATGTGGCTGATTTTTATATAACTCCTTCTCAGACTCTTTTTCTTGCTTCTGTATCTTGCTCGGATCCATAGATGACATGTTCCAAATGAAACTTTGAGATGTTCTTAGGCCGAACATCTGTGAAAGAGAGTTATGTGTGTGTGAGAGAGAGAGAAAGAAAGAGAGAGATAGAGAGGTTGAGATAGATGAACCCACTCAACATAAATATATATAAATATGGAGAGTGAGAGAGAGCTAGGGAAGGCAGGGGAAGAAGAATTTGTAGAGATGGAACGTGTAGAGAGAGAGTATTGTATGAAGGATTTGTGAAACTCGAATTATCTGGAGAGATGGAACGTGTAGAGAGAGAGTATTGTATTTCCTAGTTTTGGTACACCAAAGATAAAAAATTTAAGTGGATTTTTTTTTTGGGGGGATAACTTGTGTATCATTGAATCAAAATACATAAAAATTATATCAATCTTGGCGTGTTTTGATTAATCAAGAATTCAATCTCCAACTCCCCACCTATTCCCTAATTTTTCGAGTCCTTATCTTGATATAATTTCGGACTGCTCATCTTTTACAGTTTTATTCCACATTTATTCTTTTTTTTTAGCGATAAATAAAATCAATACATAGATAACATGATGGAAAAAATAATCTTCCTCCATACTTTGATTTTCTGACAACTAAATAACTTTTTTGTTTAGAAAACACAAAGAAAAATAAGAAAGTCGAGACGTGTAATTTGATTATTACCCTTATTTTCCTTAAATTGTTGGGTTTTTTAGGTATGGATACAATTTTCAATACTTATTTGAGCAAAAGTGTATGAGTCAATGATTTATTCTATTAATTACAATTTTTATAATACTTTTTATGTTTAGGTACAAAATTAAAATGAATTAAAATCCTTTTTACTTAAACACCCTTCCTTATTTTATGTAGCCATGATTCACAGTTATTTTAGGAAACGAATATATAAAGATTAAATATTTGTTCTCTATTATTTTTTAATTTTTAATGAGCAGTTTTGTGAGAGATTTATGTATTTATTGACAATTATTTTAGGAAACAAATTTGTAATATTTACATATTTGTTATCTTATTTTTTTGAATTAAATGTATGTGTTCAACTGATAAGTCTTCTTCAACGTGTTCAACTGATAAGTCTTATTTAAAATAAGTCTTCTTCAATGGCGATTTATTTCTCCGATGGTGGTTTTCTTTGAAAAAAGAATTGCAAATACTAATTATCGTCATCAAATTGAAGGTGAATTGTTAATAATTATATTTCTTCTTTTGTTGGTCATTTTTTGGGAAATTTCTATATTCGATTTTTGTTTTATGTTCGTTTTTTGTTAGAATGGAGGAAAAAAAATTGTTTTGATCTTAATGGGTGTAACTGTTTCTTATGGGTGTAAATATTTTTGGTATGGACAAAATAATTATATTTCTTCTACAATTCAACCATTTTTTTTGGGAAATTCATATGTTCGTTTTTGTGTATGTTTGGTCATTGTTGGAATGAATAGAAAAAAAAAAAAAAAAACTACATTGGGTTTAATGAGTGTAACTGTTTTTAAAATTGGTGTAACTATTTTTAAGTATTGACATTAATGTATGTTTTTAAAAAAATGTTAATATGTCATTGTTTGTTAACTGTTTTATTTTATTCTCAGATTATTAATCAAAGATTGTTATATGTTGTTCGTTTTTTGGGATGAACGGGGAAAAAAATTGTTTTGATTTTTAATGGGTGTAACTTATTTTTTAATTAGAGTTATGTTTTAATGTAATGCTATTGTGTGCAATTTTTCAGTCAATATCTATTTTGAAACATCCTGTATATTTGTAAATTTTTGTTGTTTTATATTTTTCTCCCAGTACGTAGATAATTAATTAATTAATTGATTTGTATTAATGTTTTTATAGCCCCAAGAGCTTTTTGATACAAAGAGCTCAAGTCAGCAACAAAAGGTATTGGACACTGTTTACGGATCATTTGACACTGTTTACTAAGCCTTTTTCATAGAATCCGGAACTGTTACTGAAGTGAAAAGATCAAAGCATTCTCATGAATGTAAAACTGAATTCTTAGATGAATTATCCAATATTGCTTGTTTGAGGCACAAATATGTTTGAATTGGGCAACCCATTGAAATGGCCATAAAGATACCACATTGGAATTGGTTTGACCTCTGTTTTGACTTACCTCCATTAAGAATGTAAACAACAATTAATACATAGAGACAAAAAGACCGTTAAAATTATGTTTGATTCAATAGCAGATATTTAAGACAGTTACAATACAAATAAGATACAGTTATTCAACAGTTAATTAATAAAATTACCGATAACAAATAAAAAAATTGAATCCTTAAAATCATAAAAATAGTTACACAACACAGTTAAATCCATTAAATTTTGAATACGAATTGTCTCTATTTGAATCCTAAATAGTTATTTAAAACAGTTACGTAACTATTTTTAATTAAAAAAATCATGAACCATAAAGTTGTCAATAACAGACTTATAAGAATTGAATCCTTAAAATCAGAAGAATAGTTACGCAACACAGTTAAACCCAACAAAATTTTGAATATGAATTGTCTAAATTTGAATCCCAAATAGTTAATTAAAACAGTTACACAACTATTTTTAATCAAAATAATCATGAACCAAAAAGTTGCCAATAACAGACTTATAAGAATTGAATCCTTAAAATCAATAGAATAGTTACACAACACATTTAAACCCATTAAATTTTGAATAAAAAAAGTCTATATTTGATCCCAAATAATTACTTAAAACAGTTACGTAACTATTTTGAATCAAAAAAATCATGTGCCAAATTGTTTTATTTTCATATACATATGCTATAATAGATTTGCAAATTCTTAATATAATTTCACAAAATTAGGGTTTTATGATTTGGTTTTATTTTTGAATCAACTTACACAGGTTTTTGAAAAAAAAAAAACTAAATAATCAATTAATGAAAAAAGAAATAGAATGTCACCTCAAGTTTCTTGTCATTTACATTTATGGTGCATAATCCCAGCTAAATCCATGTGTGTCATGTACAAATCATTCAATTTCAGCTTCTAAATTCAAAGATGAACTTTAGTTGATTGAGTTAATTAGTGTTCCAATATTCAGTTTGGACTAAAATAGACGAATATTGAGTTGTTTAACTGAGTATCTGTTTGTATTTGCAAGAGAAATGATGCATGACTTTATTGTGTTGATTTGGGGGTGAGTTGGGTTTGAGTTTCAATTGGTAAGTCAAGGAAGAAGATTGAGAAACAAATTACAAAAAGAAAAAGAAATGTTGATGAGACTAGAGAGAAAGAGACAAATTTTTGGTAGAGAGTAGCTTAAATCATAGATCTTAAGTGTCAAAAAAAGCCTATTGTTTGGGTTATAGTTGTGGTTGACAAGAATGATTTCTCTCTCTCTCAAAATATGAAGAAACACATTTTTTGATGTCCAACTCTCACACTGCAAGCTGCAACTGCCTTAATAATGTTGAAATGAAACATACTTGATATTGCTTGCTCTTTTGGGATTTAATGTGGGAGAAGCTTGGGTCCAATGACTTGTTATATGTTAACGGAGAAGATGAATATAATAAAAAAAAAAGAGTGCCATATTTTTACCCTTTTTATCATTATACTCCTTTTCACCATGTCTTGTTCAGAGTCATAGCAGCTCATTACTGCAAAATGTTTACATATGCTCCATTAGGGTGGTTATTCTCATGACGTCCATTCATTTGCCCACACAGAGCTCGGTCCAGGTCCAATGACTTTTTATATATCAACGAAAGTATTAATATTCAAAAAACTGAATGGAAAAGAAATGTTTAAAATGATTTCAAGTCCTCTATTTGCTTCACAATCTATTTTCTTTGGGCATTGACATTAATTTTTTCCGTAAAATTCATTTGTTTAGCAGGAGAATGGTAAAAAATGTAAGAAAAATAAATTTTTTAAAATTTTAATGTGTTTCGTTAGCATGAAAAAGAAAATAATAGAAAAACTAATTCACTTTCATACTTGAATTTTCTCACAAATAACCAACTTTTTTACTTGTAAAAAATACAAGGAAATACAAGAAAGTTGTGATCTATAATTAACTTCCTATTTTACCCTTATTTTCTTAAAATATTTTATTGGTTAT